AAAAGATCCATAAACCAGCAAATCAATTAGACATTTCAACCGTTAAACCGTCTTTTTTTAGCAAAACAAAAAAAGAAGAAAAAAGCATTCGTACTCTCATAACTCAAGTCAAATAACTCTCAAAATGCCCCAAAAAAAATCCTTAGGCATTCTTTTATTGAGTGGTCTCTAACCCCTTTTTTGTTTGTCTCGCTTAGAATCTATTTTGATTCTTCATTTTAATCTAGTTGTTGAGAAAATTGAAAAGGGTATTTCCTTGTTCTAGGATCTTTTATCTTTTCCTTGAATCATTGGGTTTAGACATTACTTCGGCGATATTTAATCATTTCAAAAATGGCAGCAACATGCCCTTTTTTTTTTTTCTCTCTTTTTTTCTTTCTATCAAAGAATCATATGAACGATTAATTCCCGCACGATACACTTTTGATCGAAAGAGTTTTACCAATTCCAACAATTTACTTTTTGATTTGAAAATAGTTTGAATCGGAGCCTTTCGATTTCTATTTCTATATCAAAAATAGACTTACGAAGTTGTTCCAACTTATTGATTTCCATTAACTAACCCTAGATCCTTGCCCCTGAAAATAGATGTTTCTCTTCGAGCTCCATCCTGTACTATTTACATTACAACCCAACAAAAAGCCGGATTATAATAGAACAAAGGATGTCGAGCAAAAAGCACCTTCATTTCTACATAATGGAAAGTGGTGGGTTTTGACATCCACAGCCGATCATGTCCTTCAAGTCGCACGTTGCTTTCTACCACATCGTTTCAAACGAAGTTTTACCATAACATTCCTCTAGTTTGGAACATTGATTCAATTATGGAATCATGAATAGTCATCGGTTCAGTCGATCCATCGTAATCTATCTATACTTCTTCCTTCTATATGAAATAAATTTCCTTCTATATGCTATATGAAATAAATATATAATTTAGGAAGAAAAAGCCTCAATAAGAATTCAAACTAATCCATATTGTATGAATGCTAAATGCTATATATATTTTTATTAGAATAGAATTCTATAGAATAATATATAATATTAGGAAAAAAAAAAGAATATCATTAATAATATTACGAAAATAATAATATCACGAATATTATAAATAACACAAATAAACTAATCTTTTTGAATCTACCTTGCATCTTCAAATAACCCGATAGATCAAATAACTCTATAGAATAGATCCACCAATCTCACAGTTTTTCGAGTGCCAATCTTAAGAAATCATTCAAAATAAAAAGCAAGAATCACACTTTCTCCAATATTTGACTCTTAGAAAGAAGGTTATTAAAAATTTTAATATTAAAAACAAAAAAAAAGTTCGATTCGGATATCGTTATTCTGATATATAAAAAGAGTATGCTCTGGGACGGAAGGATTCGAACCTCCGGATAGCGGGACCAAAACCCGTTGCCTTACCACTTGGCCACGCCCCAAATAGATTTCTATTTGAAACTACTAAACACTAATATGGGTATTCCTTGTTCGTCAATTCCAGTTCCAAATAGCTATGGAATAGAGTAGATTCTTGCTACGATTTTTGCACGTATGGATAGAGAATTAAACCGAATTTATTGATCATTACATAGAATTCAATTAAGATATTGTATGAAAGTATGATTTCTTCTATTCTCTTGTAAGAATTGAAGGCTTTTTGATTGGGTGAGTTCAAAGAAGTATTGTTTAGTCTGCCTTATTTTTTTTCCTTTCCTCATTTTTTTCCTTATATCAAAAAACATATTAATAACTCAATCAAAATTATCTCCAAGAACAAAATTTTGTTATGCTTAATATCTTTAATTTGATCTGTATCTGTTTTAATTCTGCCCTTTTTTCGAGTAGTTTTTTATTCGTCAAATTGCCCGAGGCCTATGCTTTTTTGAATCCAATCGTAGATTTTATGCCAGTAATACCTCTTCTCTTTTTTCTCTTAGCCTTTGTTTGGCAAGCTGCTGTAAGTTTTCGATGAGATCCTTAAATACTGGAGATCCTTAAATACTGTCCTAGAAAAATTCATGATTGTTTCAAGAAAAAAAAAATTCTAACAATTGAAAAGATCAGATGAAAAGATCAGATAAGTCTTACACTATGAACGAACCCTTAATTCAAAGATGGAAATTCTTGGATAGCCATGATAAATCTGGATCATCCCATTTCCTCATTCTGACCCTTTTTCGCCGAAAAACCCTATTTAGATTAGAGTCCGCCACAATATATAATTGTTGGTATGAAAGAATTTTTTTTGTAAAGAAAAACTCAACTCTTATTACATTGCAAGTGAATTTCTGAAAATTCTTTTCGATTTCTAGAAATCACTTTATTTCTTGGTGTCAAAACCAAAACAAAATAGGATATGTGGTATAAAAACGGGGAATCTATTCTCTTCTTTTCCAAAAAAAAAATGATCTTGGAGATTGTGTAATGCTTACTCTTAAACTCTTTGTTTACACCGTAGTGATATTCTTTGTTTCTCTCTTCATCTTCGGATTTCTAT